GATTAACAAGCTTCGCAAGTCCTACGAGGGTCATATCAAGCAGATGCAGATCGCCGGCAAGCCAAAAGCGATTAAGATGGACGGCGTTTTCCGGGATCTGCTGCTAATGCCCGAAGAGATTTGGCAGTCGCAACATGTGCAGAACAGAGAGCCCGAGAAGCAGGGGCTGACAGCAGACGGCACAGCATTGAGTTCAAACCTCAGCAGACTTCTCGACGACGCCTTCGCAGGCACAGCTCCTGGACCTCTCCCCAACGCAGAAGCTGCCAAATACAAGGCCTATCTCGGCACAGACGATGCCGTAAAACCCAAACCACAGGAAATACCACCACAGCGAGCCACACCCTTCACATCCTCCGCACCAACACCGACCAACCATATGAACCGGGGTGCAGTAAGGCCAGAGCGATCAAGCTCAAAGCGCGGATACACCGATGCCGCATTCCAAGGCTACGGCGAGGGCTTCGGAGACGACTACGCAGACTCCACCGGAGGCGAAGACACACCAGGCGGCAACATGGCGAACAAGCGACGAAAGCTCCAATTTGAACGAACATCACACTCGGTCGAAGTAGGCGGCGCACGACGATAGCGACGTCAGATTTTCCTTTCACACATATCAACTTAGCAGCATCGGGGTTACGGATCTCTCTCCACAATCGGCGTTTAACGGAAAAATCGGTTCACGAAAGCAACGGCGACATTGAGCTCGACTGAACATGCTTCTCCACACCAACCCTCACTCTCACACACACCAAACTATTCTTTATTGGCATAATGCGCGGCAGGAGTGAAGCGAGCGAGCGATCGATCGAGCGAATTGGGATATGACGACCACGACATTCCTATACCTCTCCTATATATACGAGGAACCAGATTGGGGCGCCCAGGACGTTTTGAGTTTGTGTCTTTTTTTTCTGTGTGTGTCTGCGCGCGCGCGAGTTCTGTCTCTCGAAGAAAGAAAGGGGAGTTCTTTTTATTTTCCACTACAAATCTTTCCAAGTGTGCATATTTGGGCAGGCAGATCCCTCATGATACCCTTAGGATACCACGCAGCATATGTGGATACCTATATAAAACGAATCGAATCGTAAAGTATAAATCAAGGCTTGACTTTTGCGTGGTGAAGAGGAGTGAAATGAAGTTACTACTCACAGTCTGCCCTGAGGATAGAAGAAATGACCTCAATCGAACGTTCACTATTACAGAAAATATCCTGGAGGTTTGCCGCTACGGTACTTCGTGAGATCTCAACGATCATCATAACAAAGTCTCTAGAAAGCGAACAGTAGAGAAAGGTTACACGACTTCATACTCCATTGAACAACGAGGAGATCGGGCATATCGACTTCATTCGACACGCACACAAACAATGACAATGCCATACCTCAGCCTCGTACGTCGAATTCGTATATTCCGCGTCAATGACTATACAAATAATGTACACTGCTCTCGCAATCACTCTTTCTTCTCCTCTTCGGGACCCTTCTCCTTCTCCTCCATGTCCATTCTCCTTCCCTCGACAGTAAAGTACAGACTCTTGCTCGCGCCCTCCAGAGCACCAGTAAGACTTCCACCAACACCCTGCAGCATATGTACAAGCTGAGCGCGGAGGCCGTCGATACCTCCAGCAATGCCACCAACCCACTTCGTGCCGTCTACGTCGAAGACCTTGCCCTCTACCCTCGCACCCAAAAGCATCAGCTTCTGGAGACCAGCTTGGACGGCTGGTTCGTAATAGTCTGGGTTCGCTTTTCGGCTTGGAGCGGGGAAGCCAGGCTTCGAAGGCGAGAGGATAGATAGAACGGTCTTGAGGTATTGCGGCGCAACATCGGGGAACGCTACGACGGCAAGAGGCCCCGAGAGCAGAGGCTCCAATTCCAACTTCAACTTCCTGTTGTTCGCAATTTCGTATGCCCGTCTCGACAGACCGTGTGTGAAGCGCTCGTCTGCTGCGTCATTACTCGTGTTCGGTATCTGCGCGCTCGTCGGTGTCCGCGGGTCCGTAGGATGTTGCGCATGATCCATTGTCGAAGTTTCCGGGTTAAAGAACTCGACGACGCGCAGTGCGCTTGCGAAGATGTTCGTCTGGATGACCTGCATCTTAACCTCCTCTGCAAGCGTCTCTTGCCCGTTCTTCACTCTCTCGGCATCTAGCTTGCGGAGGGCAATGGCTAGCTCCCGCCTTATGCTCATCCATTCTACCGCTTTTACATTGTTGTGCTGGAATATCAGGATCAGAGGCGAGGATCGGAGCAGCGATTGGTATTGGCGGTGGAGTTGGGTTTTGCGGACCTCCGGCGGCTTGTGAGAGGGTGGTTGCGTGGGTGGGTATCGTAGTACTGGCGGTGCGGCTTTGTATGTCTGCTGGATTGGGGGCGCGGGGGTGGTCGCTGCTACTGTGGCGTAGGTCGCGATTGCGGGTAGAGAGATGGGGTGGGTTGGGTTCGAGGTGCAGGCGCGGAGGGCGCGTGGCCTGATACGTATCCGTGGAGGCATTCTGGATGTCGATTAGTACCTTCCCAAGATATACTGTCCCAGTATAGGAATCGCTATGCTTACGTGAGATGTGGTCGTGGAGCAATTGAGAGATGGGTTCGATCTCCAAATATTTCCATGCGCTTTGAGATTCGACGTGGTCTGTGCTCGTCATGTTGGAGGCGGATCTCCCGCTGTTGTGCACCACTTACGGAACATCCAACATTTCCACTCTTTCCTTTCCGTCTTAAAATATACAGTGTGACTCTGAGCTCTTTGTTTGAAGTTGATCGAACATCGTCATTGTGGTGCGCGCATGGCGGCGTATATTCGTAGAGCTGCATGGCAATCGCGAACCCAGCGAACACCAATACAAGGCTTTCGACATGCTAGATATATAGCTGTAAGCTGTCCCAATAAAGTTCGTGATTTAGATGGCAACGCTGATGATTGGCTTAGACCGACTCAAGAAATCGATTATCCAAATTCTGGGCACCAACCGGTGGTATATCACCCCAGGACGGCGAGCAAGGTGAGGATCATCGGAGCGACTAGCATACATTGACTAACGACTCTTCAGATGAGTCTCACTCTCTTCTCGTTAGAGGTGGCTTTCTCCGTCAGGTATACATCTACAACCTCTTGACTTTTAGCACTTGTCTCATCATGCGCAGGCACATTCGGGAGTCTTTCATCTTCTACCCCTAGGTTTACGCGTTCAGAATAAGCTTGAAGCGCTAATTGACAAGCACATGAGCTCGATTGGTGCTTCGAAACTTTCGCTCTCTTCCATCACCACGGAATCGTTATGGCGGCAGTCCGGTCGCTACTCCGCAAACTCTGAACTCCTGCGCATCAAAGACAGAAGAGAATCTGGCTTCTTACTATCGCCAACTCATGAGGAAGAGATCACCGCACTTGTAGCCAGTATGGTACATTCATATAAGGATCTGCCACAGAGGCTGTATCAGATCGGACGCAAATACCGCGACGAACGAAGACCAAGACAAGGGCTGTTACGAGCTAAGGAGTTCATGATGAAAGATCTATACACATTCGACCACTCAACAGAAGCCGCGCTCAAGACATACGAAGAAGTACGGGAAGCATACAACAATTTATTCAACGAGCTCAGACTGCCGTACCTAGTCGCCGATGCCGATTCTGGCAACATGGGAGGTAAACTGAGCCACGAGTATCATTTTGTTTCTCCCAAAGGCGAAGACAACGTATGGTCTTGCAACTCATGCGACTACGTCGCCAACGAGGAGCTTGTGGAAAAGAGCGGCCAAGCTGTAGCGTCATGTACTGACAGCTGGCTGGCGTACACAGGTATAAGCGTCGATAAAAAGACAAAGATCAACGTGTGGATACCGCGTCCATCCGAGAGTGAGACAGATGTAAGACAGAGACATGAGAATGTCAATCTTCACGCTGTCAAGAAAGCACTTCCAGAGGACATCGAGTTGGACACCGGCATCGAATCCTCATCACTCGCTTCTCTGCTCCGAAAGAAAACAGATACCATCGACCTCTTCGACCCCTCCCTTGCCTTCGATAAGAACGATAGGTCTCTCTCAAATCCTCTGTCTTCCAAACTAAATCTCACGCCCGTCGGAACTGGCGATCCATGTCCTCGCTGCTCGGACGGAAAACTCGACGTCCAGAAAGCCATCGAAGTAGGCCACACCTTCCACCTCGGCACCCGCTACAGCAAGCCCCTCAACGCGGTCGTCGCACTACCAGACCAGAACCTCTCCTCCCCAATACAAATGGGCTGCCACGGTATCGGCGTTTCGCGCATCATTGGAGCTGTCGCTTCACTTCTCTCAGACGCTCAAGGGCTGAACTGGCCAAGGGCGATAGCGCCCTATGAAGCCGTCATCCTCACATCTCCAAAGGTCGATGAGAGCGACGCGGCAGAAGTGTACGACGCGATCTATGGTGAAGGTCGGTATGGAGATGTGGATCTAGTGTTGGATGATCGAGTAGCAAAGAGCTTAGGTTGGAAATTGAAGGATGCAGAATTGATTGGATATCCTGTCGTCGTTGTGTTAGGCAGAGGCTGGACAGACAGGAGAGAATTAGAGGTGCAATGCCGGAGATTGGGGTTCAAGAAGGATGTTGGTTTGGGTGAACTCAGGCAAGAGGTCTTGGGATTGCTGGATCAGTTGTAGTATATCTGTACAAGTAGGGTTTCTCCGATTTCATGACAGGACAGCACGGAAAGACCGGATCGCCGCTCTACAAGAGCCCAGATGCAGATCATGTCAATGCTATAAATACTTGCCTCAGCTCATGCAGATCACAGGAAGATCTGGTTCGTTCTACTGTTGTTCCAGAATATGCAGCTAAGGCATGCTGATGCATCCAAAACACCGCGCTAGTACGTCAGCTCTGTACCCCAAGCGCGTACATCTACGCTTCATTAACATATCACTTCAGATAACTCCTACAGTATCCTGCGTACGACATTTTCTCTCCACCGCACGTCGAGCGCCATCTCATTGTAACCAACCGCGATGAACGAGTCTTCCATCCCCATCGTGCCCATCCTACAAGCGATCGCAACCATCGCGCCAGCCATATACACAGGTACATTGATGTCAAAACTATGCAAATAAGCCCGCTAATAGTCGAATCTGCCAGGCTTCACTTTCGCATACAGTCATGTCGTCATGCCACCCCTCATCACGCATGCCCCACCAAAACTCCTAGCAAAGCAATGGCTTCAAGCCTACCAATTCGCACCCATCTTTGTCGCACCTCTCATCTTATCCGGCGCTTCAACCAACATTCTCCTCGCCTACCTTTGCAATGATCAATCTTCTTCCGCAAGGCTCCTGTACGCTGTTGCAGGACTTGTAAATGCTAGTATCATCCCGTACACAGCCCTGTACATGGAGCCAGGAGTGAATGGCGCGGGAAAGTGGAAGGCTCAAGAGATATTGCGCGATGAGGGAGTTGTTTTGAAAGGTGTTGGGCAGGGTACAGATAAAGATACGGCAAGTGAGGCGGCGAAGAAGTGGGCTGAGAAAGTGGATATGAAGACTATTGCTGAGACGTGGGCGAGGACGAATGCGTGGCGTTATGTTATCACCGCGGTTGCTACTGTAATCAGTGCGACGGCTACGGTTATGCGGCGCTAGGATAACTCGTTTATGGTATCTTTCTCCAATTCACTCTATCAACTCCATTCTCCACCACAACCTCCGCATCAACAACCCCAAGCACTCACCCGATACTTCTCCACCGCCTCCAACGCCTCATCCTTCCTAAACCCCTCCCCCGGCCACCCAAACTTGCGATAAATCCTCTTGCATACCTTCACGTGCTCCTCGTCGTGCTCTTCCATCGAGGGATCCGCCGTTTCAGGCACCGGCCCATTATCCTCCACCTCAGGCACGCCCTCATAGAGTTCGCCTCTTACGGGTACGCAATCCAACCTCCGGAGCTTGTCCTTCATATCGTCGAAGAAGTCTTCTATCCATACGCCAGAGACGAGTTGGCAGCGAACTATGTCTTCGTGGATGATGCCTTTGTGTACGTCGAGGAGGAGGATCCGTCCGCCGGATTCGTAGCCCATGGATAGGAGGAGGATGTCTTTTATGTCGACGGAGTCGGGGTCGTCGCCGTAGTCTTCTTCTTCGTTGGAACTGTAACCTTCGTCATGCGGTGCGTTCTCGTCGTCGCTATTGATTTCTTCGTCTTCGCTGTCCTCTTCATCCTCGTTGGTGTTGTTCTGTTCATCGTCATTCATGTCGTTATTCTCCTCCTCCCCCTCTTCTTCTGCTTCCTCTTCTTCTCTTCTCCGCTCCTCCATCTCTTCTATACAAACTTTGAGCCCGTCTTCTCCATACGATACATCATATCTCTCAAAGTCCTCTTTCGTGTATGTGGAGTAATCTACCACGTCGCTCTTGTAGTGAATGTTCGTGATCATCTCGCCGGCCTCAGCCTCATCAATGTATGATAAATGCTTCATGACCTCAATGACAACATGCGATTTGTCCAGACACTTTGTCGCCTCCGCAGTAATGTTTGGCCAGCCACCTGGAGGCGGGCGTTTCAATGCTGAAGATGGTATGTAGAGAGTGGTCAAAAAGGTGTAATAGTCGTTCATTATGGCGGCTAATTGGGCCGGTGGAAGTCGTGGGCGCTTGTGGGATGCCATGTTGAAATCGCGTTATACCAACTTCTTGCGTTGAGGATTAAAGCGAGGAATATGCCACTTTAGTAGACATCTCGCTGTGCCGCTGGTAGAGAAGAGGTTAGCACATTCGAGGTTGCCGCCTAATGCACAGACGCGATGCCAACTTAACCGACGACAACAACTCGTATTGATACTTGGCGACATGTTCAGTAGCTCACTAATCGTTAATTTCCTGTGAAATTGGTCAAGATAGATGCCTTTGCCAGGCTGCAAGACCTCAAAAGCAGACGTCAATGGCTCTGGAAGCGGGTAAATGCAGATTCGCATTCTGTATCTCGATATTGCGACATATATGTTACACGTACTCTTCTAGACATAGATATACAGCTGTAAAGGCATCTCTCGCTGAGCTATTATACATTCGGACTATATTGTACACATGCATCGACGCATATACGGTAATAGACAAGCAGCTGGCGTACCTGTAGCCAGGAGCAAAAGCAATCATGAATGTTGTGATCGACGACGCGTGGCTCGGTTGGGACGTTTTTGTTTTGTTATCCTTGCAGATGGGGCGGAAGATTCTCCTTGCTCCTTAGAAGAGTCAGAAGACTGCATCTCAGATTCCTCATGAGGTTCCGGTTGAGGGGCGTCGGACGCTTCTGAATCATTTTGCGTGATGGTAGACATGAATCTGTCCGTGTCCGATTCGAAAAATTCGTTTGGAGCAGATGGCTTCTCCGCCTGGCCATCCGCAGCAGAACGGCGTGCACGAGTTGTGCGTCCGCTGTGCTGCTCTGATGTTGACGCATCTGCGGTATCGGCCGTTTGCCATACGGTGTTATGCGAGTTGAGAATATCTCTTTCTAGTGATTCAACATCCTTGGTGCGCACTTGTATGTTCTTGTCATCTTCCATCTCCGTGGTGGCTGCGTCTGCAAGATGGGATTCCTTCGGCGAGTCTGAGCGTCTTTGGGCTGGCTTATCGTTGTTCATACCAGTCTCTAGTAGAGGCTCTGCTTTCTCTTGTACAGTGCCTACTATCTCCAGTGCAGGATCTGTCTCTTGTGGTGTAGGATTTGCTTTCGTTGCCGTCGCAGCTTTCGGCTCTGGTGAAACACTCACCGGTGCCTGTGTTGTCTCTCGACTAGGTTTGATTGGAACCTTTGAATTGGTCTTGCGATATGTCTTCTCCTGTTTTTCTCCCCAGCTGTGGCCTCGAAGCCTTGCTGACAGGCGGAGAAGCCTAATCGTTTCTTTCGTTTCGTTTTTTACTAAACCAGCATTTACCTGGTACCGTACCATTCGCTTCAACCTATGCGCAAACGTTCCCTCAAAGTCTCTCTCCTCGCTAATTCTGATGCTGTCGGCGCATTTTCGTACCGCAATGTCCCATGATATTCTCAGGATGCGTTTCTCACTGCTTTTCAAGCCCTCAGATGATTCTATTTCTGCTGGAAACTTCATCGATGCGACAAACTCATCTGCTTCTTCCTCTGGCGATAGTTTGGTGCCTCGGGTGACTACCTTGTCCTGGTTCTCGACGTGAGATGTTGGCAAATCTTGGCGTTTAGAGACTGTTTTCTTGTCATCGTGTTCCAAGACATCATTTGATAGGTAGCCTTCTTTCGATAGCTTGTTGGCAGCTACGACCGCGCGTCGTTGCAGTTTTGAATCTGATCCCTGATTGGAATTCTTCGATGGTGCTTTTTCCTTCGAGGCTGAACTTTGGCGTTGCGCGTCTTGTCTACCAAGTCGGCCCAGATCCTTTGCGTCACTCGGGTGACCATTCGTGCGATATTCGATCACGGAATCGGCTAGATTTTTCGAGGCCTCCGCATGTGTGAGCGCAACGCTGCTCTTCTTCTTAGTTTGAGGCTGAACTGTTCCCGAGTGTCCATCGTGTATTTGACTTTTGGTGGACACATTGTCTTCTTGTGCCTCCTCTCTAGGCTGATCTGCCACCTGTTTTTCCGCCAGTTTTGCTGCTTCTTTCGCTGCCAGTGCTGCATCATGCTCCAGCTGGGCTTTTTTAGTGTACGCAGCTTGGTTCCTCATATAATCAGAGTACTGCAGCGCCGCAAGCCTTTTATTGTCCAGACGATCCTGGGCCGTAATCTGCTCTTCTAATCCCTTGTGACGATCGAGCTTGATTCCGGTGATAACTTCCTTGACGGTTTCGATGTTGTTCCCAGAGTCCAAGTAGATAGCACCAAGAACAGCTTCGAAGGCCTCGGCAACATGATTAAATGTGTAGGGGTGCCGATCGTGAAGAAGCAGATTGTCGTTTATACCGAGCGCGTATCCTTTCTTACCCAAACCAACTCTGCTTTCTATATCCGGCTGCATCGAAGTGTATTCCGCTATTCGCTGTATTAGCTTAAGCACCAGAGCTATATGCAGTACATACCATTGGTATTTCCTGTCTTGAACCAAACATCGCATAGAGCTAAGGAGATAACTCGATCACCTAGCAATGCCAGGCGGTTGTTTTTGTCTATGTGATGAATGACCCCATTGAAATAAAGCGGTGTAGTCGCCGAAGTGGTCTTGAGCGCTTCGATGCAGATCATCTTGTCTTTGAACTTGTAGCCCATGATCCCTTCAATACGGCCCACTCTCGCTGCAGCGTCAAGCAGATCATGATAGGCGTACGGTGGGGGCATATGCCAATGCAACCGCTGGGCCTCAAGCGCCAGGTAAACTTGATCTCTCCGATCAAAAAGGTCGGGTATACGAGCTTTTCGACCAAAATGTTCAGCTAGCGGGCTGCGTCCCCCCGATAAAGACCTTCCAATTTTCTGCATGTTTTCTGGCCGACGATCGTAGCCTAAGAAAACCCTCAGATGGTTTGTGAATGTGTCGGGGCGGCCAAAGAGCTTTAGAGTTAGATGACGACGAAAACGCCTCAATCCCAGGAAAGGTTTCCGCGGCATCATGACAGAAGCACGCAGCCTATACTACGGAACGACTGTAGTATGTCAGCAAAGTGCCCTGTTGGGTACGCGACATCCTGATTGGACTACAGGACACGCGCCACATGGTGCGTACCAGCGCGACGTCAACATATAAACGAACGGCCCATGACCAATTGCCTGGAATTGGGAGTTTGGGGAGAGATACGCTCAATGTAGGTGAGCTACGCACTTGATTCTGATGATACCGATGGAAGGAGTAGTGGAAATTATGCAAGGGTCCATCGGCTGGGGACGAAAATCTTTAGTGCATCGACCGCACAGACAAGCCTTGCCACCTCGACAAGTCACAAATCCCTTAGGCAGCAACGGATTTCCATCAACAACTCTTGTAATTGCAGCAGAAAGCGTCGATCGCAAACGAAGCCCCGACAAATAGAACACGTGAATTGTAACATTGTAGGCAGTCGCATAGTCGATGTAGAGGTGGCTACTTTCAGCGTCCCGATGCACCGACGCCACCGTTCACCAAAGCAGGACTATCCAAACTGTCATGCGAATAACTCTTTTCAGAAGAAGTAGAGACGCGCCTTTTGTTGATCAACGTAACTAAGTTCTCGGAAAATCCTCGCTGGAGCCATGTAGGAGCCAGCCTCCGTCTCATTCGCGCACAGCCAGCAATCACGACAGCGAAAGGATTGTCAGACCCAACTCAACACAACTCAACGTCTGCTCCGCCAATCTACCTATCCCGAAAAGTCCAGAAGAGCGCAGCTGTAACGACGATGGCTACAGACACGCTCAATGCCCTAACGTTCGTCATGTCAGAACGGGCTGGAATAGACGCAGTAGTAGTAGTAAAGTTCGCCACAGCGCGCAATGCTTCAGAATGACTGTTACAGCGGATCCTACTCTTCAATTCCTTTTCTCGATCGAGTCTTTCACGGCGGTAACATCGATGGGGTACGACAGGCTTCTTAGGTACGCCGTCGCCAACACGCATCGTGAAGCGGGTGTGTCCTTTGGGCATTGCTGACTGTTGAGTAGTCACCACTTCTGCAACGAGAGCGGCTGCCGATGT